CCACCCTCTGGGTCCTACCGCAGAGCCAATTCCCCAGCCAGAGGATCGTGGTGAGGTCGAGGCCGCATATAGCCAGTTTGGCCAAGAGGTGATCATGGGATAACAGATCGGAGGCTTTTTTAAAGTCAAGATATACAACGTTGATCTCTTCCCCCTTGTCCAGGTGATAAGTCACCTGGTCATAAAAGGAAATGAGATTGGTCAAGCAAGACCTACCCGCAACAAACCCATGCTGGGTATCCCTCAAGATATTGCCTTTAGCTAGTCTGTTAAGGATGGCTTCTTTGATCATCTTTTCCAAGACCTTCCCCAGAATAGAGGTCAGGATGATGGGCCTGTAGTTTGCCGGATCTACTTTCTTCCCTTTCTTAAAGATAGGCACAATACTGGCCCTCTTCCAGTCTTTGGGCACTTCACCAGGGTGCCAAGAGCTCTCAAAAATCCATACCAGGGGCTGAACTATGCTTGCCAGCTCCCTGAGTACCCTTGGGTGTAACCCATCAGGGCCGGCTGACTTGAAGGAATCCAGCCTGTCAAGCTGTTCCTTCACAAAGTCAGCTTTGATGGAGGGCAAGGAATCTCCCTCACCTGGGCCTCCCTGACCCACAGTGCGCAGGGCCATCCCATGGGACTGGTGAGAAACTGATGCAAAGTACCCATTTAGCAAGTTCACTTTTTCCTGGGCGTCAGTTGTCAGTTGCTCCATCTGGTTGAGCAGGAATCCAATGTTGCCCTTGTTTTTCCTCCAGCTCCCCACATATCTAAAAAAGGACTTTTTATTGTCCTTGATATTTGTAGCTAGCTGGAGTTCCATCGCAGCCTTGGCTTTCCTGGTTTGCTTTCTGCAGGTCCAGACCAAAGCAGAGTATTCCTCCTTGGTGGTGGTTCCAGTCCTCCATCCTTTGTAGGTCTTCCTTTTAAGACGCAGGAGGTCCTCCAGTTCCCTGGAGAGCCAAGAGGGCTGCTGTGCCCTTTTGGTGGACTAGCTGATCTAAGACTAGCCTTTAATTTCTGTTGTCTATAATTTTATTCTGTCAAAACAAATGGTTATAAAAGAGATGTTCCTTTACATCTATAAAAATTTTTTATAGCACGTGTTACATACGGTCAATTATAACAAACCCATAAATTATGAAAATTCCTTTTTGCCACCTTGGTTAGAGACAGACATTGAAAAAGCCTGAGCCTGAACTAATTCAGTCTTTGCAGGTTAGTCTAATCTGGCTATACTAAACTGGTTTGTAACCAGACAGACATCCCAGAAATAGACGCACATGCCTACAGTGGCTCAGGCTAGAAGCCAGGGGATGCTAGAGCAGTCCTACCTTCCTTTTCACACTGCTAAGCTGAGGGGGGTATGGCCAGGCCCCGATAGCAGGCTCTGATTAGGGAGGGGTCTCCCACCCTCCTGAGCAGCCCAGCAGGGAATTGATAACAGTGTTTAGCATTCCATCAGAAAACAAAGCCTCTCTCCATTAGTTCAAACTCTTCTTAAACAGCTTTTCCAAGGAAGGAACTGGTCTCCCACAGCACGGACCACAGCCAGCATGTTGTATGCTAGAGGAAGCCAGGAAGATGCCTGCAGTCTCTGACGAAGCTGCAGCCATGGAGCAGAGGGGAGGGGCCAGCCCTGCTGTGGAGCAGAGAGCCCAACCCAGCCAAGAGAGCATGCCGGGATGCTGGGGGAGTCTGTCTCAACTTAAACCAGCAAGGGGTCTGGGAAAGACACTGCATAAGCCTGTTTGACCCAAATCAGTTCAGGCTGATACTACATTCAACCAGGTTTATCTCAAACTGGTTTCCACCATTTTCAAACTGGTTTATGCAAGATGAACATCTGTTCTGTTACAGGTGTAAACCAGTTTCTGATCACTTAAACTGGTTTATGTGTAATGTCTGTCCCTAGCCCTTATGGTCACAGAGGACTTAACATTATGAAACTTATACAGGTCTGCTCTGGGATGGTACTAAATTTGGGGTACACAAAACAGTTTTGTGAGAAGGGCTGGTAGGTCTTTGAGGATTCAGATCTAGTGCTCATTCAAGTCCAATTCACAAACTGGGCCACCATAAAAGAAAAGAGCTGTTATAAAAGCAACTGTAGAGTGGCTCCACTGCTATTTCATAGCCTGAAGCAGAAAATCCCCTCAGTCCCTGCACCAATCTTGCAAACTTGGCCTAAACACAGGGTCAAAGATTTGCCTAATGTAGCAGTTCTCAAACTTTATAGGCTCCCAGCACCCTTTTATACCATTCAAAAATGAATTTATTTATTACACTGCACAGGGACTGGGCAGTGGGCAAAGACAAACTTGCACTTACCTATTCATGTAGGGACTAGGCAGTAAGAGGAGAGGTAGGGAGAGGGGAGGGATACCTGCAAAGGATCTCATGACCCCAATTGGAATTCACTGGCTAATGGAATAAAAGGGATTTTTTATTAAAAAAAATATTGCCCCAAAATTGTGGTCCTTCTTACAGAATTTAAGTTCACCACACCACAGAATCAACAGGGTTCTGGCTTTATTATTACTCTCAGGTGTCAAACACTGAAAACGATGTGGTTCCCAAACATGTATGAAAGAGTATCTTACATGTATCTTTTGAGATCTCCAGTCAGAGCTGGTTTATAGCTATCAAAGAAATCTTTCTAAATTCAGTATTTGTACTAAAAAACCTGCGCTGCCTTTGAAGACAGTTCAGCTTTAACATTCTATGCTTGAAAAAAGCAAACCTAAAGCCACATCTGAGCTGTAAATCCAATTCAATTCCCAGGGAAAAGATATATTCCTGAAATGCTGCTTTCTTATGGTCTTATGGAACATTTGATGAGCTGTACCTCATCAATTTTAGTTAAAAAGTATTGTGCTCTTAAAACTGTTACTGTTATTAAACCTGCATGATCAGTGAAAAAACAGGGCTATTTGCCCTTGAAAAGAATGATTTGAGTATTTGCACGCAAATGATAGTCAAAAGAGGGGAAAAAAAGAAAGAACACTGAAAACCAACTACAAAGACCTGGAAGCCCCCATGTGGTGAGTTGTGTACATTGCTTTAGGTAATATTTAATACACTGAAAAATTAATCTTCCTAATCTACTCTTGGTTCAACCCCTTACTACTATAAAGATTAGAAGGAATGGCATGGCTATAGCCTGCTTTACAAAACAGCAATGTTGTAACATAGCCAGGGTATAGAGAGGACCAGAGGTTTGTGTGTGGAAAAAGTTTGACATAAGTAAGGCCTTGCTTAAAAAGCGTAGTAGGAAAAAGATAGGTTATTTTCATTATAACTCACAGTCATGAGATCAGTTATAAGTGGTAAACAAGTGGCTCAATCAGCTGTGCACAGAGTAGATAGACTGGTTAAGAGAGGGAATGTTTGGAAGGCACTAGAGAGACTATATCAAGGCATCTTGGTAAGACCAGGAGTTGGAAGAAGATGGACTTATCTGTGTGTGCTGTCTCATCATCACTTGCTTCAGGGAGCATCATCAGATGTGTTAGAAAACAATGAAACAAGCCTTTCCCATGATTGTTGTTTTTCTTATACTTTCCAATTTGATTCTGTCCTATGTATCTTCAAGTTTCTAACAGAAGCTTGCACCCATGTTACTTGTCAGCATTGGCCATCCTCTGTGGGATGCTGCAGATGCAAAACATGCCTGCAAGGCTCTAAAGCCAAACTCAATAAAGCCCAAGATTCTCAAGTACAATCCATTATGGCTGTATGGTTAAAAATGACTAACAAAATTAGACAAGGTTTTTAAAAAATGAGTGCAAAGTATTTAGCTAGTCCTCAAGCACTCACGCTGCCATGAGTATCTACTTATTTAATATCATATTACTTTTAAACCACAAATCTGTGCCAAAGTATAAACCAAATTCTAGCTTTTACTTTTGGAAGCCGAAACATATTCCAGTTATTTGGATCAACAGCTGTTGCAAAATACCCTCTATACAAGAATACTCAGGTGTATAACATTCACTGGGCTTTACAATATCTGATATGACACAAATACCTGTTATACTCATTTTATAGAGAGGAATACTGAGGCACCAAGTTCACCGATGATCACAAATCTAAAGAGTAGAATAACCAAGAGCAGAATCCAAGAACCCTACCTCAGCCTTCCCTGTTCTCAGCCATAAACCTTTAGATCAATGGTCAGTTTAAAAGCTTGTGATTTAATAACTTTCTTTGTAAAATTATCAAAACTTACTTGAAAATTTCATCAACTATTCTGAAGATAGCAGGATAACATGATGCTTTTGGCTATGAAAAAAGAAAAAGGAGTAAATTAGACACTATTTAAGAGATGCAAAAATCTCACATTCATTATACAAGTGTGCAACATTGCCAATGAATACTACTGTGCTTTACTTAGTGCAGATCTTAGACAATACCCTAGAAATTTCTCACACCTCTCTCAGGATAATATCCCTTAAAAACTACTGTAGCAATTGAAGAACTGAGACTACCAGTAATAAAGACTAGACTGTTTATACATGCACAAAGCTGGGATCTGCAACTAAGTACGGCAACTGTCACTACAAATACTAAGAGTGACAGATGAATGAAAATGGATTACTACTCATAAAAGTCCTACTGGCTAGAGACATGAGAAAATAAGTAGCTTTTTCCTTTTTATAGACAACCCATCTTGGATAAACTTACATTTTCTGGCTATGTCAACAAAATTCAATATAAAAAAAACTAATTTTTCTTCTTTTATTTCCCTTGGCTCTGAAAATACAGCATACATTTTCATGCTATCATACCCTTTCATGGATCTCAGGTAACCTAAAAATGTTTATTTACATCTTAGAAACCAAAAGTATATTTTTAAACTAGTAATGTTTTTACTCTTCTCTGCAGTGTGACGTAATGTCACCAACAAGATTACCATATTTTAAAGCAATTATTATATGAACTAGTGAATCTACTATTATATGTCTGAATTTTGTGCATTTGCTCTTATACAGAATGCATAACAGTAATCATAAAATAACAACTAGCATAAACCTTTATTTGTATCTTTGTAGGCAAAAGAGATGCCTATGTTTTAAGACAACGTGAAGATTTAATGAGTGAGCACATCTTGAACAATTCTGTTGAAAAAATGTATCTAATAAAATTCAGTTTTATAGTCTTCAGCATTCAGCTGTTGTAATGGCTATTATTTAAAGTGCCTGATGCTTCAATCCAGAGATATATTCTGTGCATATAGTTCAAGCTGCAGTGGAAGTGTGGAGTTACCTTAAAGAGCAACTTTAATGAGGCAGGCAGCCATTGGAATAAATGATCAAGGAAAGCTTTGAAAAGATGAAGTCCATGTTTCTCACAGTTGTTTTTACCATATTGGAAAAATTAGGTGGCACCTCATTTTCATGATTTATCATTCATATTTTTTTTGGTCATATGGCTGTAGTTAAGTTGTCATATTGAATGTATGCCATCTAGTGTTCAAGAGCATTCACAGCTGGCTGCCTAGATGTGTGAGAAACAGCATACAGCCTGCTTGAAGTCTCTAAACTTCAAGTGCTTGGAAAAAACCAAATGGATGAATTTGGGGGACAAGAAAAATACTGTTATTTTAAGGTACTTGGACACTGTACACTACAAAATATAAAACAACCTTTTAGTTCTTCACGTTAGCTATTCAAATGCATCTTTTTCCTTCTTTTCAGTACATATATCTTTTCAAAACAACATCACTTCTATACTTATATACAAGCCCCATTTTAGAACAGGGGTGCAGGTTGTAGCTGTGTTGGTCTAAGGACATAGGCAGACAAGGTTCTTCGGGTAAATCCAATATCTTGTGTTAGACCAACTCAAATAGTTGGAAAAATTCTTCTTTGCAAGCTTTCAGGTACAAATATGTGATGAAGGGTATTTGTACACAAAAGTTTGCAAAGAAGAATTTTTGCATCCCTTTGAGTTGATCTAATAAAAGTTATTGAATTTACCCAAAGAACCTTGTCTGCCATGTTACAACAGACACTGAAAGAATTCATGCAGTTACCATCACTTCAACATACTTTCACGGACTAATCCATATGCAAAACAGTGGTGTACCGTGGGTCTCCAGTGCCTGAGGGTCAATGTCCGCATTTGCATCTCCCAGCCCCCTGGGATGATCCAAGCAGAGTGTGGGTCCGGAGGCAAATCAGCCTGGGCAGGGCCACACCTCCCACCCCACGGCACATCTGCAGGAGAATTAGCAGTGCGGCACACCAGCTAGAATGGCAAAAGAAGCACACAACCTGCCAGGCGGGTGGGTGGACCACACACAAAACGCGGGAGGCACCCTGGCCTTTCCAGCCGGTGCTCCCCCCCGACCCCCCCAGGCCTGTGCCCAGGGGCCATGGCCCCCTCTCCCCCTGTCAGTATGCCACTGATGCAAAATTAGTTAAATACATGTTTTAGCAAATGAAGTGATGTAACTTAATATAAAAGGTTGGCGTTCTTTGTTGCTAAGATGACTGTGCATTATGAAAGTAGATACATTAAGGGTTTCTTCAGGGACATGAACTGGATGGACTAGTAAAACAAATAGGCACCTGCTAGATGGCCTTTATTGTAGAATTTCGCCAGTTTGCTGCAAAGCATACACTGCCTTGACAAGAGACATTGCTAGCCCTTTAGTGAGACAATTGGTAGTTCACTGAACAGCAACTTTTGTGACATGGAAATATCCCACAATAATTTTAACAGATGGCCAACTGGAATGCTGTTGTTTGTTGCAAGATACTTGCACATAACATGTGACAAATATAATATCTGCCAGGGGTCTATGCAAGCAATCCAGTGTTGTATCAATAGCTACCACAAAACTAGGGGCACTAGAGGTTGTTTTACAAAGAAAGAAATTCTAACAGGAATCAGTGAAATTGCAGTCGCTATAAGAACCTATATTTGTGATACCATCTGCTCATACTCAATAGAAATTAAGCGTTATCATTGGGTTCAGTGAGAACAGGGTCAAGCTGCACTGTGCTGTCAAACAATATGATAGGGCTTTGGTCAACAAACTATATTCAGGGGCTTCCCTGGAATTTCTCAGCATGCTACAGGTGTCGAATCTTTCTTATACTACCTGACTGCAGCAGAACAGTGGCAATTCAGACACTTTTGCAGACTCATGTTTGTACAAGGAGAGATGGGATTTTCAGAATACCATAAATTATCACCTTAACTTTTCAAAAGTTTTCAGAGAATGGTGCCTATGTCTTTGTGAAATTAAACCAGAACACCCCAACATCTGATCCTGCAAAACTAGCAGCACAGCTTTGGGGCCTTTGCACCATTGTTTTAAAAATCTGCCTAGATTGTGGGAAACTGGAACTGCACATGTGACTTAATGATTACAGATTCAGATACACTGAATATCAGTATATACACTGTTGAGGACAATGATTATATCCACTGAAATTTACTCAGTAGGGGCAAACTGCAGGGAAATCCAGTTGAAAACAAAATGGTCTTCTTTTCCAAACTTCTCTCTCACCTTGTCCACCTTTCTCTGTTTCCTATTTCACTGGAAAGTCTGGGTTTGAAAGGTGAGTCTGGATCCAGCCAAAACATAAACATGTGGATCTATCAAATTAAGAAGGATGTAAGGGCATTGGAATGAGGATAATGCCCCAAGCCTCTGTGTACCTATATGGTAAAGTGTCACTGTGTCACCTGAACAGGAGTTGAGGCATTACAACATTAACTTTAACTGGATAGAATAACAGACCAATTCAAGGACAAAATGTAGGAAGTTGGGGATGTCAAAAGAACTGTATGATCAAAGAGTAACTTACAGAGCTAAGAAGCACAAAAGTTTTCAAAGGTCTTTATCTAAAATTAAACACGCAAGTCTTCTTGTACTATAGCTTTCAAATATGAAACATAATGCATAGAAATAGACTAATATTAACCTTGGGACTTGCCTATGTGCATAGGGACACTACAATGCAGGGAAAACATGCGATATTTCTTTAAATCGAGGCAGTGAAACACAAGCATTTTAACTTACAAATTAAAATTTGAGTTTTAGTAAACTTCATAGCCATTAGATAGATATGCAGACACACATTATAACCTTTCTGGAAAATGCAAGATCTCCAAATTTCTGATGGGCTAAAGAATATTTGTGTAGCTCATTTCATTTTGTGCAATGCATATAACATTTATCTTTTGTTTTTATTACATCTTAGTAACTGAAGGATATCCACTACTAATTCCAGCTTTTCCCAAAGGATGGAAATGTAATTAGCTGCACACCATATAAAATACAAGTTACTAGACCATCACACTCTAATTACAGTTGGAATCCAAATATAACAGTATTAGATATCAAGTTTCTTTCATAATAAAGCACAGCAGTTTTCTACTATCTGGGTCCCGTAGATCTCAAAGACATTTACCTATAGTTATGTCACTGTTCTAAGATATTTCATTTTGATAAATGAGTCAGATGATGTAATTATGAAAGCTTTTTCAAGTTACCTTTTTTATCGCTCAGTCACATTACCAGTATTTTCTGGTTGCTTTTTTTGTACCACCCTATTTTTATTGCAAGTAGGAATAACAATCTAAACAAATCAGTAATTTTTGGCCCATCATTTTATATTGAAATTACCCTGAACTATAGAGGTCATATCCTGAACACAGCATAATCAAACAAATTAAACAAAACACCATAGATTCCTAAGTAAATATTCTAAATATATTTTAACAGAATACATTCTTCACTGAAGTGCCCACCTACTTATTATAGTCTAAATATCCCTGTAAAACTGCATGTAATAAAGGAATTAATGGACTTGCTGACCACTACTTTGACCACATCATTTCCGTTTCTGGATCCCAGCCCTTCCTTATATCCTGCTTAACTGCACTAAACTCAAGTTCCTGGTTTTCACCTAGTCAACTATGTAAAAGTCTTCTTTAGAAACTGACCCTGAACGTCTACTTGATAGGAGTTGTATACTACAGTCATAAGCCACACAACTTCTAGCATAAAAAGGCCCCCTCTACATGTGCACGTAAAGGCCCAATGGGATCTAATGCATGATTCACACAACTGTGCCTCCAGCCATGCCACATGTGGGACTGCGCATTAGATCCCCTCACACCTTACTGCTGGTGTAAGGGGAGTCTCCTTGCATCAGCAAGATGCAAGTTCCTGTGGCTGGATGCCCCATGCACCCCGGTTGAGGGGCTTTCAGCCAAGGGGTGCCCCACAGTCTCCCCACCCCCCGGACTGAGGATCCCTTCTGCATTAGTCTCCCTGCCCCGAGGGAGCGTGAAACTCCCAAGGCGGGAAAACTCCCAGGCCAGAGGTTTGGCTCAGGGGCAATCCCCCCACCCCAGAGGCCACAAGGTAATTCCCCTATCCCAGGGCCATGGGAAACCCCTGGGGCCAGAGGATCACTGTGATCCTTTGGCCACAGAGATTTCCTGCACCCCTCATATGGGGAGTCTGCTTCTGCAGCAATCATGCAGCCCCAGGGCTTTCTTGCACCCAAGAACCCTAGGGATCACAGCAGCCACGATCCCCGGGGTTGGGGAGGGGGGAGAGAGGGAGAGGTTTGAAACCTCTGGACCCTGGGGATCATGGCAGGCATGATCCCTCGGGCTCAGGGGTTTTACACTAGGCATGATGCACCACTGTGGGATACCCTGCTACACGTGCAAATTAAAGCTTGATAGCAACCAGCTACAAAGGTAGTACACATTTTCAAGGTCTAACTTTATAGCTGGTTGGAGCTTTTTATTGTGGGACAGCTACTTTGAACATGTAGCTGGTCTCCAGGTAAATGCACAATTACCCAGTTAATTGCACAATACCTGTAACATGCAGGGAACCTAATAAGTGGTACAAATCAGTAATTTGAATATTCTAGGACCTCAAGAGTATAAAGGGACTATCACTTAATTCACAACTCCCTCTTGCAAGCTGTTGGGTATTGATGCATCACCTCTTCCACACAAAGGAAGATCATCTGCCTCCTTGTGCCTTTACCCATGTCAGATCTTACTCAGACAATACTGGCTCTAAACTAATTTTTTAATACAATTAGTCCTGCCTCTTCCTCCGAGAGTCATCTTAAAAAGCAAATTATTTGAGACAAGGGAAAACATACACAACATAAGATTCTCAGGGAGATGAGCATTAATAAAATATACCTATTAAATTAATAAATAAGAATAACCTAAAGAGCAATATAGAGATTTGACTTATTTTCTACACTGAACTGAGCTTTTTTGTAAACCATGTGAAGTGATTAAATACCAAGCTGTTTAGAAATGTGGACCAATGGATGAAAATATTGAACTATAAGGATAATGGGAGAGACAACCCCTGCACAAACCAAAAAAAGAGGAGAGAAAGTCTCTACAGGGATAGGATTTTTTATATCTTAGGTTGTGGAATATTCAGATACTTAAATACAGACCTAAGTAGTACCAATGCTAGCACTTATGTGGCTTGTGAACATGATACAAAATTCTTAAAATGATAACCTGAAGAGGTAATTCATGAAGAATTTTAATATAAAAATATTGAAGACATCCATATGATATATCTATACATCCTGAATTGTCTGCTTACTTAAAGGGGTTGTTTTGCTTTTTAAAGACTACTGTTTTTTTAAATGTTATTCTTTATGGCCAATAACTGGCTACTGAAACACTGTAAATTTTTAAGTGAAATGGAGATGGAAAGCTTATTTACTGATAAATCCTAAAGCTAAAATTTATTAAAACCCAACAAATGTTTTAAAATTAAGAACTTCTTACTTGAAAAAGACATTAAATAAGTAAATAACCACAAAATCCAATAATCCTCAAGACGACAGTTGAGTGGCGTAAGCATATGAAATACCTGATCTCCATTCAAATCAGACATAAAAAGGGACTTTTTTTCCTAATTCCCAAAGGGAGAAGTGGGTGCTTAGTATCTCTGTCAATCGGGCCCCAATTCGGTTTGCCTTCTCTTGGTCCTCTAAATGAAACCTTGAAGCCAAGAGAGACAGATGCGATCTGTTCTGTAAGAAAACATACTGTGAAACTTTATGAGTAAGATTCGCCTCTGGTTCATCTCTGTTTCTCTTCCCACTACTGCCAACAAGCTCTACACTAATTGATTTCTCAATGCTCACAGAGAGGATTTTAGTAGTGCTTATATTTGAGAATCATCTGGAGATCCTTCAGTACAAATGGTGAAGTTTAATGTACTAATTGTAATACGTACCAGCAATGAATCTTTTATGATACGCATCACCTCTTCCAGTGAAGTTATTTGATTAGAAATTAATCTTTCTAACAAATCCAATGTAGCTTTTTCAAGACTGGGTAGATGGCGAAGCCACAGGCTGAAGACAGCTGATTCTGAGAGGGCAATCTTCTTTCTAAATCAGAGGGAAAATATTGTTTTGTACAAACATAAGGAATACATAAATAAATAAATATTTAAAAGAATGGCATATAACATTCAAGACATGCATACTTTAACAATGTTTTAGGGGAAAGTGCCTCCCATTTCTTATGTTCTTTTTACAAATGGGAAAACTGAGATAGAGAAATTAAGTGGTTTCCTCAAAGATCATATAGGAAATAAGTCATAGAGCAGATATTAGAATCACAGTGTTCTACTTAAGCAACCATACTTCTTAAATGTGAGCACAGTTTTAAAAGAAATATATAACAAGAACTCCCTATTAAATACTCTGAGCCTTTATTGGGAAGGGGCAGCATATAAATCTAATAAAGAAATAAATAATCTATAGGGCTAATGAGCAACATGTCTTGAAGACCAACAAATCCAGACTCTGATCAGGTCATAGAAAAAGGACATGGAGTATTCATATTCTGGAGCTCAGTTATTCTCAAGGGTAACATTCCATCTTAAATCGTCTCCATTTTAAACCCGAGGCTTGCTTCCTTTAGATAGGCTTGCTCAGAAAGCTTCAATAACTACAACAAGCAGAAGGGTCCTAAATAATTTTATTGCTGGCTATAATTCAAAGCATTACCCGGTCTCTGCAGAGATGAGAAAACAAAGTAGACCAGCTCTTGAGCCCACCAACATTGACGGAAACCCTTTCATGTTTTAAGAGATAACTATCTCTTTTCACCTAAAGTGGCTTTCCATTATAATTCAGCTAAAATAGGATATTACATAATTAGGAATAAGATACTAAAGCAGGAACAGGTTATGGTGGGACACCACCACAATGTGGGTGTACTAGGCACAAGATCAGAAGTATAGTACAGCAACCACATAAGAGGAAAAGATATCTTACCACAAAAATATACATACCGGAATATTTTTACAGCTATTATAAAATGAATATTAGATTGGTTTCAGATTAAAAGGTTTCTAAAAAGGTGTTGTAGTATTACATCCAATTATGCAGAATTAAACAAAGCTAAGTTAGGATTAAAAGAGCCTTAATTACAAGCATAATTACTGGAAAAGCAAAAAAGTGGAAAAAGGCTTAACATTTGTTTTACTTTGTTTTCTAATGTGTTTTATGACACATTAATTTAAACATCATTTGAACATTAAATGTTTAGGTATCTGATAGTGATTGAAAACCTGTACATGTTTTATTGAAACTCTTCCCTGTATGCCTGTTTTACATAAAACTGTGCATCTCCAGAAATGGGGAAAAAACATCAAAAATTACCCTTTTAACTCGTGAAGCAATGTATATTTTAAAAAAAGTTGCATAAATAGCACTAATTACTACATACTGAAAGCAATGCACTGCAATATAACTGGTGTATGACAACAGGGGGAATTAAGGCTGAAAAGCTCATCTTACATTCTTTTATCTTCTTTCCTTATTAATTCTATAATTTTTATTATTTAATATGCATTATCATTCACATTTTTCTTTGGATTTAAATTGCTTACATAGACAAAGCTGAACACTCCTCTTGTTTTTTTGGAAAAGGGCAACTTTGAAGCATGCACAGAAAAAATCTAACTCATGGCCAGGAAAATATTTCTTACACTAAAGTTAAAACCAGCCTTTCTGTCCTCGTGTCAGCGATACTTGAACATGCCACAAAGGACATCTCTGGGTTCTATACTGGGTTACAAGACACACTTTTTCTAGCATTTTACTGACAGCTAAATCATGAATCAAGCTTCTTGCATATCTGACTACATAAGGCTCCTAACTGGAAGGAAGAGGTTTTGAGTGTATCTACAAAGAAGTAGAGAACAGGGAGGTAAATACAAAAGGATGACTCCAGTGGAAAATGTAATTTAAGTCCCTTTCAGGGTACAAGAACCTCAGTAAAAGGCCAGCAAGCTACTGCATCTCTTCACAGGGATACCCTCAACTACTTTTAAAGTCCCTAAATGAAAAATTTGGCCTAAATCAATAAACACTGAATTTCTTCAGTTCATTGTGATGAACACGCACCTGAAAAGGTTACACACAGGACAGAGTACTGCATTCAGAAAAAAACCTTCTATGACCACATAAAGTATTCACACTCATATTAAGTGGTGGCAAAACTATTTGTAATGACTGATTGCCTGTTGACTCAGTGATGTTGACTCAGTTTGGATGGTCTATCTAAGGGCAGCTGTCCTGGGAAATTTTCCAGAATTTTTACCACTCCTGATGGAACACACTGATCTGAAGCCACAGGAATTGGACAAGTGAAAGACCACCCATTCTTTTGGACAGTATCTTTCACCGTGGATTTTTAGACACATTTTTTCCAAAACCAATAGTTTTTATTAGTTTCTGATGAAGTCTCTAGGAACATGTGGACAAACATAAGTTAGAAGTCATGGCCTTGCCATTAGCTATTCATCCCAGCTTTTAAATTTGCCATTGCTGAAGCCCTGGGAGAAAAGAATAGCTTGTGACCAGCTGGGCATCTCAGAAACAATGCACTGGCTTGTGTGCCTTGGTAAAAATTATTGTTTAGGCCCTGTTAGGACTTTTCATAAAAAAAGGGAAAAGAAGGAAAACCAAAGGCAAGAGAGTCCCAAATGACCCTTTAAAAATCTGAAGAGTTCACATTGGTTCCGAAAGTGTCCTTTAAAACAAATGTAACTATTACATTTATGGATAGCTTAGTGGATATCTGTCACTCTTATTATGTTGACTTAAAAGAATGAGTTGTCACCCCTGACCTTTAGGTGACCTTTTCTTTTTCCCACGCATAGACCAATGAGTGCCTTGAAGATAAAGATCAGGACCTTGAATTCGATACCCTCTAGGTGCAGGGGGAAGAAATTCAGGTAGAGCAGAGGAAAGGTCTGAAGTTCATTCTGTAGCCCTCATTTTTCAGTCCAGTATTATGTACTGGCTGATGCTTTGTAAAAAGTGGATATTGACATAATCAATCTGGGAGGTAACAAAGATCTCCATGATCAGGGCCAAGTCATCATCTGCCAACATGGAATAGAGTCTCCTAAATAATTAAACCCTGCAGAAGGCAAAATACTGCCCACGGGCCACATATGGCCTGTCAGGCCATTCTATCTGGCCTATGGGGCCCCTCCAGAAAACAATGATTATCAGCCTGCAGCTATTGCTCTCAAAGCCAGCGGAAAGCATGCTTTCAGAGGTTGTGTGCCATTGGACCAGGTGAGCTCTGTGCTTCCACCTCTGTGGATCTCCTGGCACTCCATCTGGGAGCCCCATGTGGAGGCACCAAGTATGATGGTGTGCAGCTGGACAGCTGGTGAGTAAGGAGGAGAGCTCCTGCCTGTAGGGGGGTGGGGTTTGTGGTTGAGGATGGGAGTGGGTGAGGGTGAGGTTTGTGGGTGGGTGCGGAACCCCCCCATGACAGTGCACTGTCACCTGCTGCTGCTGCTTCCACCAGCTGAGGAGGCACAGACGACAGGCCCTTGGGGCACTCCTGGCCCACTGCAGGCAGAGCCTCGTCATGGTGTGTGGCTTTGGCTGAATCCCAGGAGCCGCACATGGTGACCTGGCCCAGCCACCGGCACACAATTTTGAGCCAGACCATGCTGGCTCCATGGCAACATATGGGGCCCCTGGCACTGCAGGAGGGAGCTGCATGCTATCAGGCTGGGCCAGGCTGCCTCCATGCCTCCACATGGGGTTTCCAGCACTCCAGTGGTGAGCTACACGTGGAGGCACAGAGCCCGCCTGGCCCGATGGCACGTGACTCCCTGTGGCTCCTGGTCCATGCACCTTTGGGCTAGGCAGACTCAATGTTTCCACATGCGGCTGGAAGCCCCACGTGGAGGCACAGAGTCAGCCTGGCCCAATGGTATGTGGCTCTTGCCTGCAGTCCTGGGAGCTCCATGTATTGGCATGGAGCCAGCTCAGTCCAGCTTGAAGGCATGTGCCAATGGGCCAGGCCAAAAGAGCACTGTGTTATCATGTGCAGCTCCCAGGATTCAGCCAGAGTCACATGCTGCCAAAGGGCTCTGTCTGCTGCAGACCAGGAGTGTCTTGAGGGCCCACCGCCTGCTGCTGCCACTGGCAAGAGTTGTATGCCATGGAGAGGGATGTGTAGCAGGGGGCCTACACCCACCCACAAACCCCACATGCACCCCCACTCCCTACAAACCCCACATCCATACACACCTCCCCCCACAAATCCCATACCCACCTATACCCTCACCCCTCCACAGACTCCCTCACAAACCCCCCACACACCCATACCCCCATATCTATTCACAAATGCCAAAACCCCACACATACCCACACCAATTCACAAACCCCACGCACACCCACCCACAAATCCTCCCACCCATCCACCCACACACACCACACCCAGCCCCCTCCAAACAATATACAAGAGTAAGACTTTATTTTGAGCTATTATGCAATCACATCTATATATACTATGCAAACACATGTAAATCAAAAATAAATATTTTTTTAAATAAAATTAAAATATGTCATAGTAGATGTATGATTTTCAAAATACATTTTGTTTTATTTGCTTCCAAGTTGGCAAAACCCCCTCCCAAAAGCAGTAATTCTGGGGGTAAAGAGTGGGGGGTAAGGAGTTGGGGGAAACAACTTCCAGTGCCAAAGTTCAGGGGTTAGGGTTGGACTTCTGGTGGCAATCAGGGGGTGGGGTGCCTGTCAAGGGGCAGGGCTACCATTGCAGCCCTCACCAGCTCAAGAAAGGGAAAGTCATTAAGTGGCCCTCTAGCCAAAATAATTACCCACCCCTGGACTAGAGATTATAGAATGTATTATTCATGCTATATGAAAACTTACCCTTGAAGAGTAATTCAAGAGTACTTGCAAACTAAGGTTTCAGTTAATCTATTTTGGTTGTGTGTCTTTGGTCAAAATCAGAGTGTATTGTGGCTGCTAATTCTCCTTTCCTACCAATAAAACTAGGGTGACCATATGTCCCGGTTTGGCTGGGGGACACTGATTCTATAGCCCAGTCCCGGCAGGTTCATCAAAAGTCCCAGGCCGGAGTCTGGCGGAGAGGTGGAGCAGCATGGTGTACCAGGCAGGCAGCCAAGCAGGCACCACCGCTCCCATACAGAATAATACAGGGAGCTTCATATATGCTGATGATCTATGTATCGTGATGCAAGAGAAGGACTTTGCCACTTTCAAGAACAGACTTATATGTGAACTGAACAACCTCTCAGACTACTAAAATAAGAACCAGCTTCACATCAACGCAATCAAGACATGGGCCACAGCTTTTCACCTATGCCATAAGTATCTCAAGCAGAAATTAAACATCACCTGGGAAGGAATCCCACTGACTAATCACCCAAACCCTGTGTATTTGGGGGTTATGTTGGACCAAACACCTACCTTCAAAACACATGCAAAGAATATGAAAGGGAAAGTCTGTGCCTGCAACAATATACTTTAAACGTTGGTCACCTCGATGGGGAGAGCAAATCTAGCAACATTACAAACCACTGCTATTGCCTTGTGTTACTCCACTGCACAATATGCATGTCAAGTATGGGAATGGTCAGTTTGTGCTAAGAAACTAGACCCAGTTCTAAACGACAGCCAATACTAAAGGACAACTTACACTTACCAACTGGCATTGCACCACCTGATTTCAGAAGAAAGATAATGAGCCCAAAAAAAAAAAAATTGCAGCAGATGAAAGACCTCAAGCATCCACTCACTGGTCACACAGAACTAAATGGCTTAAAGTGTGAAAGGGTTTTGTAACCAATGTTGCACAGCTGGACATGATCGCTAATAGAGCACAACTGAGGTTACGGAAGGAAAGATTATGCACAATCAGGTGCTCTGAAATGCATCTCGAACCCCAGGAAGACCTTCCCAGAGGGGCTGATCTAGACTAACTAACATGGCAATGCCTGAATCAGCTGTGCACACAAACTGGAAGATCAAATGGGGCTGCTCTAATGACACAAATATATTTGAGTGCAGTGAAGTGCAGACTGTGGAGCACATGCTCATTTGCTGACTCCTTGATGAGACCTGTACAAAGGAGGACCTCGATGCAGCTACAAAAAGAGCCATCACTTGAGCATGATTCTGGAAAAATATCTGGTTTATGACGAGGACACAAGAAGGAGAAGGAGAAGAAGATTCCAATTTGAGGTCAGCACACAAAGATTTTATTACAATAGAGTAGACATTCCATTCATCCAGCATATAAATTAATTAAATGACAATTTAATTAATAAATGAGAGTTTCAATTGAATATAGGTTGGGGGGGTTGTTTTGTTTTTTGGTGATCTGGATATCCTGTGTTACTTACCTTAAAAAGGCTTCATTCACAGCTTCTAAAAACTCTGAGCTGAGAACCTCTTGTGATTTGCTTCCATGATGAGTAAGGAGAGCTTCTAGTAATGGAGTCAAATCAGGCAAAGTAATAAGAGGAACACAGAAAAGGGAAACTGTGTACACACGATCAGCTGAAATTCTGAAGAAACAAAAATAAGTTTTTTGTTACAAAAAAATGTCAAGAGCTTGAAATTCTATAGTTATGATGTAAATAAAAGCTAACTCAATTCAGTGCCAAATGTTAAAATTAATAGCCATGTGCCTGACAGCAAAAAACTGTATAAATCGAGTAAATATCTAAAGCTTTGCCTATTTTCAGGTGAAGAGTCAAGTGAACATACTGCATTAAGGACTTCAACCAAGTTCTGATGCACTGGTGACAGTCAACAATTACTCCTGCCCTGCTAACAATGAGTATTTTGCCCAGTTTTGTAAAGAACAAAAAAGTCTTTTTGAGAGAGGGTATGACAGTTTCAGAGCTCCCACGTGTATTTCCTAGGTTCTCACAGGACACAACCAAGGTGGTTTTAAGGTCTCTGTGGTTTCATTTGTTTTCCTCCTTTCAGCAGGAATTACTCCTTTGCACAAAGCAGCATAAATCCTTCTGCTGTCAAGTATTTAGGCATAAACTATGGTGGTGCATATGGCACAATTAACATGTTACTCATTACATAAATAGCAACACACCACATGTTCAGCCTTAAGATAGTAAACCAGCCATAAATATGTTTCATATATCATACAGAACATCTTTGTGACTGGGGTGTACGGAGCCATAAACTGACCATGTAGCACTTCTCAGATCTGGGGCTGCCCCATCCTGATGCCAACAATCAGCTGAATGTTATCACTGGGACTAAAACAGCCTAGGTCTCAATGCTGATAATGCATGCTGGGCACATGAGTTGAAAGGGATCTTCCCCCTCTCAGCCATGACATGTTTTCTGTCCTGACCTGCAGCCCCTATAGGAGCTGTGGGGCAAGGTTCTTTAAAGTACCAGATTCCAATGAGTCCCAGCACTCATTACAACTAGGTATTTTAAAGAGCAAGGTTGCAAGTTTCCCTTTAAAAAACAGTGCAAGTGGGATCAGTCTCTGATCCCAAAAATTACACATCCTGCCATGCAGGTGTAATAGGGCAGGATGCATGATTGTCATGACTGGGAATCAGATCCCATCGCTGCATTGCTTTAATGTCTGCCAATGACCTCAAAGATATACAGCTGGAGGAATGTGTAACACTTCCAGACTTCAAGAATTCAACCCTGCCTATCAAAACTGCACCTCTGTAAAAGGTTAAAGGGATGCCTCAGATTGATCCAAGGTGTAGGATTCAGCTGTTATTTAAGATAAATTTTAAAAAATGCTGGCCATATGGCATATACAGGAGGGCAAGACTAGTGACTAGGGGAAAAAGGTTACATGAAGAAAACTGAAAGTAGGTTTTCCCCAATTGATGTGCAATTCATGCATGTGCATTTGCAGGATGTAACTAGTGCAATTCAGGTAGCGATATTTTGCATATATAGTCTTTCATCTGGTAAGAAAAATATCCACTGGAAAATTAATACAGATGGATACATATCAATGTGTTTTCTACCAACTGGACTGAAGACAGCATTTGTAGATTCTGTTGATGTATGGTAAAAATAATATTTTCTTAAATGTTTTTTAAAAGATTATGGTTTATATGTCAAAAAGCCCAGATTATATGGAAAAGGGGAAGCATGTCCAACATGCTAAGGAAAACAATGAGTAGGAAAATTTATTGCTCTTTTTTCTGTCAATAGTGCTTATCAGCTCCTGTTCAATCAAATGCCCTTTCATCACTTAACTGCATATAAACAGTCAGGATACTTATGTTGAGGAGGGCTTACTCATGTGAATAGTCCCATTGAGTTCAATGGAACTACTTGTTTGAGCTGGGACCATCCAATATGAATAAGGATTGCAAATCTGAACTCTTGATAATTGTATACTAATAATGACAACTGCCCTTCTGATTTCAAATATTAAGTGTATTTTCTGTATCTGTAATAATGAAGGGAAGGAAAGAGTTGGGCCAAACTGCACAGCAGCGTATGTAAAATATTCTATAGAAGGCAGTCAGACTGTACCACCCTCATGCCATTTTCTATCAAACAGAAAATCTAAAATATAAGCATGACAGAACCTCTAACTTAAAGTGGGCAATCTCTGTCAGTTTAACAGTTTCAAAGTAATTACTATTCAATCCTAAAAAACTACAATCTGATTCAAAACATTAACATGAAAAAACCCTTTTCCCTCTAGTAACTCTTAGGTAATTATACTAACTTTTTCCAGCTATGAGAGGGTCATGTGGCACCTAAAAATTGAGGTTATCTGTAAGTACTGCTTAACTAACATGTCCATTACAGAAAAGATATACAATCATGACTCCATTGAAATACATTTAAAATTTCAATTTTGATCTAAATACTGTACTTGCATTCCCAAGATTTTATAAAAAAGATCTCACTTTAACAATCCATATGAAGACTTATTGGAAATTATGTTTAGATAACACCTACCTCCCTTGAATGTTAAATCCATTCAACCGATTTCCTCCGAGTTCTGTCACTAATGATAAGACCATCTGTTAAACAAAATCAATGACATTAAAATACATACATGCTGCAAAATAGGCTGACATGAGTTGCATTTTTCTGTGTATGAGTGACATTTCCGTGGAAGTTAGTATTTTCCCCTGTAGGCTCAATTTTTTAAAATGTTTTTTCCTTGGCCAAGTAAAAGCTGCCCAGCCAATTAAAAAAGATAAATTATATTGCAGAACTTTTTGCAGAACACCAATGATACAAATTTCCCATCAGACAACTAGAAAATAAGTGATTTATTACAGTATTGCTTTCCCAAAAGTTGACACAAAACCAACTTTTAAAACAGTGTCACTACGTATTTAAACAAGTTTTACCTATTAAATGTCTTCATCTTATGAAATATTACTTCCATAAACTTAGTGAATGAAAGAACAGGCTCCCTAAGATTTAGGGCTCAAAGAGCATTGAGAATAACAGCGCTTAGAGTCAGAAAGAAAGCACACAAAAAGTTACTTTCTGCCAAACATATCCCACATCAGCCGTGTCCAGATGAGCAAGCACATGCCTGTTGCGGCATCTCAAAGCAGTTTGAGACACTGCAGGAGGCACGCTAGGAATGAAAAAATGTTCCCTGTGCTGCATATCTGCAGTGCACAGTCTAAGTTCGATACCGGTAAATTCTGGTATAAAAAAAGATGCATGCTGGGAAAAAGCAGTGCAGGGCGCGCTCCTGGAGCATGCCCTGAAGCAACCAGAGGCTGGGTCCTCCAAAGAAACACTCTAGCACCTGGTCAGAGCGTTTCTATGCCTGCTGGGTGCCCCTGCTGCTCCAGCATGCTGCCTCAATGTGCTGGAGGAAACAGAAGCGGGGCAACGCTGCCAGCAGCCCAGCTGCCTAGGACCCAGGCTCTGTCCCTGGTAAGCAGAGATGTGAGAGTGGGGGGACTGTGGGTGCAGGGGGGTGTGTGGAAGGGGTGGGTCCCTGTCCTCCTCCAACGGCGCACAGCCCCTGCCACAGCAGTAGCAGCCAGCAGCAGGTCTTTGGTACGTTCATGGCCTGCTGCTGGCAGAAAACCCCAGCAGCATGAGACGCCGCCCGAGACTTGGGGGCTCCAGCTGGCCTGGCCCACTGGTGCACATCTTCAGGCAGGATCAGACCAGCTTCTGCTTCTATGGAGTTGGCCCAGCCCAATGGCATGTGGCTCCTGCCTGCAACACCAGGAGCCCTGGGCGATGGCAGGAGCCAGCCCAGTCCTGTGTGAAGGCGCATGCCAGTGGGCCAGACTGGTTCCATGCACCACATGGAGCCCCCAGGTCTCAGGTGGCACCACGTGCTCCCAGGGGTCTCTGCCAGCAGCAGGCCATGAGTGCCCCGACAACCCGCTGCTGTATTGGGGACTGTGCACCATGGGGGTGGCTGGGGGGGACCCACCCCTTCCCCACAGTCCCCCCACCCACAAACCCCCCAACCACAATCCACCCACAAACCCCGCCTGCCCCAAGCCCCCTCCACAAACCTCACCCCACAAACCCCCCCAACACTGCCCACAACCCCCCCCACACACACATATCTCAAACACTGTGTACCCAGCCATAGATGGGATGGGACCTGTTGGTAGAATCCATGGCTACAGGGACAACTGCCACACTGCAGCCCTTCCCCATGCCCACATCAGTGCTGGGACATGCAACCGCAGGGTGCAGGAGCTTCTCATTCTAGGAAACACTTGGGGTGTGTGACGGGCTGGAAGGAAGGGTTGGAGGTGGCAGCAAGGTTGTGTGTGAGAGAGACAGGGGTCAGGGATGGGGGAGTGCTCCGAGTAGGAGAGGCCACCAGAGCCAGGCTTAGAGCGGGGGCACCAGAAGACATGACAGCAGTGCCGCACAAAGGTCAACTGTGCAACCATGGCCCACTGGCAGCTGGCCCAGAGGTGCCCATACTACAGCCCAGGTAGCTGTGTAGCCCCCCATCTGGGTCTGGCAGGTGCGCAGCCATAGGGCCACAGGTCCAAGAGGGTGGATGCTGTCGCAGGTGGCAGCAGGTCACAGCCAGGCAGCAGCCTCCACTGCCAGACTGATGCAGTGGGTAGAGGGTACAGGGGCCACTCTAGGTTAGGGCTGCTTCAGCAGTCCAGCTGGCACAAGGGGCTAGTGTCCCCAGATACCAACTGGCTGGGCCTCAGAAGCTCCTGAGGGCAAGTAGCCCTGACTTCTCACCAGGTCTTTTTATACTGTTGGGGCCAGCACAGGTACTGGACCCAGACTCTAGCTCTTCCTGGCTGAAAATCCAGGATGAGCTGAGCAGGGTCAGTTTACCCCAAGTGGCACAATTTGTCCCACACCAAAGTGCATGTTCAGGAACATGTGCTGAGGCACTAATCTCCGAAACAAATTTGTGCTCTTGCTACTTGAGCTGCTGCAAGCGCACATGCTTGCATGTGTGGACGCGCCCATAGATTCTTTCCAAATTTCCAATGAAACAAAAAACATCTTTCTTAGCCTTTACTCTAGGGACAGGATAACAAAAGAATTTAAAACAGCCCATAGTGTTGATGAAATCTATGAAAAAAAAAAGAAATAGAATAACATATGCACATCAGTATAAACTAGCCAAAACTCTTCCCCAACCCCCTTTGTCATGTTCCATTTTAGCCTATTTCTAGCTGAGCAGACAGAGTAGCAGGGCAAAGCAACCTTCTGCTTTCTTTGCACTTAGAATCATAAAATCATACGAAGATGAGGGTTGGAAGGGACCCCAGAAGGGCATCTAGTCCAACCCCCTGCTCAAAGCAGGTCCGTCCCCAGCTATAATATTCCAGGCAAGACTTTGTCTAACCGGGTCTTAAAAACCTCCAAGGATGAAAAGTCTACTTCCTTCAGGGACTCCAGAGTGAGAAGCAGGGAGGGGCAGCTCTGCTCCCTGCACTCAGTTCCAGGGTCCAGAAGCCAAGCAGATGGAACAGTGAGGCAAAACCTTCTCCCCACTTCTTACACTGGGGACTCCTGTTTGTGAGGAGCGGGTAGGGAGCAGTAGGTATCTCCTCCTCTCCTCCTCTCTGGGTCTTTGGAAGGAAGATAAGCAGCAGAACCCTGCACCTTCTCCAGATGGGGGTGACCTCGGTATCTAGAAGGCACAGAAGCATGTGGCCACAGTCCTCTTGGTCCTCAGGAGGAGTTAAACCATGGGAAAGTGTGCAGACATTTATTCTTCTGGAAAAGGTCTCCAGAAGGAGCAACTTCTACCTCGTTGGAGTTGGGATATTTTTCTCCCAGAATGGCTATTCTTGCTTACGGAGAAAAGTTGGAACATCTGTACACTCATAATTTCTACCAGGAGAAACAGACCCATCTGTATATGGAGATCTCAGAACAACAGCAGAGTCTCCCTATGCCTGAAGAAGGGTATTTGTGCCCAAAAGCTTGCAAATAACTTCGTTCCAACTACTCCGTTGTTCTAATAAGAGATATCACATCTACCCAATTTAAAAAAAAAATTGTTATCCTGTTCCTAGAGTAAAGGCTAAGAAAGATTTTTTTGTTACATTGGAAATTTGCGAACTGGAGGGAATCTATGGGCATGTCCACACATGCAAGCACATAAACTTGCAGCAGCTCAAGTAGCAGCAGCAGCACACATTTATGCCTGAGATTTGTGACTCAGCACACGTGCCTGAACATACTTTGGTGCCTGTCTATGGCCTGAATACCACATTCATTCAAATCCAAGACGACCCTAAATTTAAGTCAATCCCCCAATAATAAGATTCTACATGTGGAAAATGTATAAATTTGTTACAATTTTCCGTGAATCAAATATAATTATTGGAGGATCTTCTTAATTTCAACCCTGGAGCCAACACTGCTGCTACAGGACTGGGTTGGGCCATGGGAGGGGGCGCAAGTGGAGATGGGAAAAAAGGAAAGAAGGGGAGAAAACATGGGGAGCCCCCAAGGCTGCGGAGTAGGGGGGAGAGGCAGAGGGGGAGGAGAGTTGCGGGGGATGCAGCAGCAGCTATAGCTCTGGTTACAACCTGGGTTTGGGGCTGGAGCCAGAGCTGCAGCAGCCCCAGGTCCCGTTCTCCCTGCCTCCCACTGCCTTGTACACAGTTCAAAGATGAGGGGCTTCTTGGCCCCTCTTTGTTAAATGGGGAAACACCCATGTCTGGGAAGGAAGTAAATACAGTTACTAAAGTAAGAAAAGATAAAGTTTGCTGCCTCTTCTTTAGAGCAATGACATTTTCATGTACACACACATAATCTGGTAAATTGTTAACAACGCAGTCTCCACTGCACTAAATACTCACATTTTCAACCAATTTCTCATAATAATCTTCAGAGGTGTAGCCAAGAACTGAAATAAAGTTACTGGTATCAGCTTCCTTAGATCCCCATGCAGAAGATGAAAGGAGATGGCACAATAAAGCCTTGAAGAAATCAAGAAAATGAAAAAGAAAGAAAGAAAAAAATAGATTAAAACTTTATATTTTTACCAACCATTTGATATTGCTGATTTTTGTCCATGTTATAGATCACATCCTCTGGTATATGGCCACCTTACACCACTTCACCAGCATGGTTTGGATAAAGAAGGGGTCCTGGGTTTCTTAGGAAAGACAATTTTGGCTGCAATGGCTTACTATGCCTCATAATTACACCAGTGATAGCAAAACAAGAAAAGAACAAGATGCCACTAAACTAGACTGATCAAGGTTTTAGACCCCTGGACCCGTTCCAAGTTGGTATAACTTAGAATAGCCCTCAGAATGTTCTAACGCAGTACAAACCTGAAAAATTCACACAATAGCACCAGGGTCAGAGCAGAGCAAGAGCAAAATTTATGTTAGTTTTTCACACTGCTCCCTGAATTCTGCTCAGTGTATTTTGGGTGTAATGAAAGATCTGATCTTATATTTTCATTCCTCTAGCTAGAAAGTTGATAACATTTACATCTTTTCTCTACTAAAATGTTTTAAACAAAATTTAAAAAATGATAGAAAGATATCCAGAAAAAGAAAATGTGAACAAATAGTAATATGAAGTCATACAATCAAGTACACATTTGCAAAAGTACAACGGAAAGTACAATGGCCCTGGCCAAGTCTGTATGGAGCAGTCTATGCCCCTATGATTCTGTAGGTGGCATTCTATGCCCTGAAAAGACTGGCCCAGCTACATTCGACAGGACGTGCTGTATTGTGGCCAAATCTCAAAAGCGATCTCCAGCCTACCTGAGGTCACTGTATATTGCGTGACAATTTTTAATGAAAATAGGCTGCTCATTCCATTATAATAAGTTCTCCTTGGCCCATATATTTATCTTGATTCAATTTCTTACAGTTCATTTAATATCCTATTCTCAAGTGGTGTACGCCAATGTAACAAAATACTGCACGTTTCACTTCAGAGGAAGATGTCAGGTGTTTGCTGAATTATTAGTGAACTGATAAAAAATTCTAAATGGTTGCTGCTATGCCAGGGGTGTCAAACTCATTTGTCCCTGTGGGCCAAATAAGTAGTACACAGCCAGTACATGGGTCATGACCTCTATTGTCTTGGGCATCCTTACCTACTTTTTCTATTTTTCTATCTATTCTATTTCTATTCTATTTTTCTATCCTTATCTATTTTTATGTGAGGAACCTAATCCAAGATTCTAAACTAAAAAGAATAAAGAGCCAGTCTGCTCACTTCTGCTTTCAGAAATCCAACCTAAATATTTATATAATGCTTTTACTGGACATCCTTAGTTAACTGGTTCACTGGTCCTCTGGAATTAAATGTGTGCTGTATTTGATGTACCATTTATAAGAGATAACATACAATCAGTAAAAATACACTAGTGCTCTAGAGAAAATCATGAATATCAAGACAAAACCTGCCTCAAGTGTTTGTATAATTCTTTTCTACATACTTTTACTCTGCTGCAAGTTTATGGTGATGCCTGGACTACTTGTTTACAAAGATTTATTTTATAACCTTTGTAGAAAAAGTAGCTGTTCTACTGCCATCTAGTGACAGCTTTTCATAAAACTAAGATGAAGGGGAAAAAACACTGTAGTGATTATTTTATACAACCCTTTTAAAGAAGCAATTAACATGTATTTTTCTCATTTCAAAGGATAAAAAGATAGAGGTATTAAAAAGGAACTTCATAATGGGTGAGCTTCCAAATATAATCATAGCAATTTACATACATCTATTAAATCTTTACAAGTTCCAATGTCTCCATAATTATGCTGTTAATATATATGTAAGAGGTACAATTACATATAACCTCATAATTACATTTTGTGTTTAAATTAGCTGTTAGAAAGCTACCAAATATTCAGATATGTGTCTGCCTGGAAACTGCAAGGTTTATCAACTGGAACGAGATAAAGGGTGAGACAGCCAATGGGAATTCAAGTTGAGAAGCTGAGGGAGCTAGCAAGCTGGTTTTGGGAGATCTGGCAAGACGGTTAGGAAAATAAAAAGCGTCTGAATGCTCAAAAAGGATTTGCAAAAGGATTTAAGACCTGGGAAGAGCAAGTAGTCAGAGCTTTTAGGAAGGACGTGCAAAAAAGTTAAGCTAGTGGTTCTCAACCTTTTTAGAATCATTGAAAATTAGGGTTGGAAGGGATCTCAAGAGGTCCTCTAGCCCAGCGTTTCTCAACCCCTTGGTCATGACCGAAAAGTGGGTCACAAGAGTATATGAAAGAGTGGCGAACAAAAATGGATTCTCCTTTAAAGGAGAAAAACATGGGCTTTTCCCTTGCAGGCTGGCAGAGTTCCAGCTTACAAGGGGCAACTTGGGGTCACTTGGGGCACCTCATGCCCCATGCCCCCTCCGCCCCACCTCACACACCCACCTTCTACTCCACACATTGTGGGGCTGGGACCTGGGGGCAGCGGACAGTGGGCCAGTAGTGAGGGGTAGGGGGTCGGGACTGGTCATCAATGTCTACAAATGGGTTCTCATAGAAAAAAGGTTGAGAACCACTTTACTCCAGCCCACTGCTCAAAGCAGGACTAGATCGTTCCTGCCAGGGCTTTGTCTAGATGGGTCTTAAAAACCTCCAAGGATGGAGATTCCACAACCTCTCTAGGTAACCCATTCCAGTGCTTCAACAGCCTCTTAGTGAGGAAGTTTTTCCTAATATCCAACCTTAACCTCCGTTGCTGCAACTTGAAACCAATGCTCCTTGTTCTGTCATCTGCCACCGCTGAGAACAGTCTAGCTCAGGGGTCAGCAAAATGTGGCCTGTGGGCCAGATTCGGCCTGCCAGGCCATTCCATCTGGCCTGCGGGGCCCCTAAAAATCTTAGACAATTAATATTTATCTGCCCCAGCTGCCTGTCATGGTGCCTTCAATGGCTTGCCAAAACTCAGTAAGCGGCCCTCCGTCCGAAATAACCGCCCACCCCTGGAGCTCCATCCTCTTTAGAAGCACCCTTCAGGTAGTTAAAAGCTGCTATCAAATCCCCCCTTAGTCTTCTCTTCTCTAAACTAAATAAGTCCAGTTCCCTCAGCCTCTTCTCAGAAGTCATGTGCCCCAGCCCCCTATTTTCATTGCCCTCCACTGCACTCTCTCCAACTTGTCCACATCCTTTCTATAGTTGGGGGCCCAAAACTGGACACAGCACTCCAGATGTGGCCTCACCAGTGCAGAATAGAGCAGAATTATTACTTCCCTTGATCTGCTGGCAACACTCCTACTAATGCAGCCCAGTATGGTGTTAGCCTTCTTGGCAGCAAAGGCACACTGTTGACTCATATCCAGCTTATTGTACACTGTAACCCCCAGGACCTTTTCTGCACAGCTGAAAGGTAGACTCAAGGTACCTCTTGGAAAATGTCGGCTCTTAGTATTCACTTGATTTTTAACTAAAGAAAAATAATAGCATAATTCTTCTGCTGCAAAGAACTCAGAAAGAGACCACAACAGGTGAGAATATTTTTAACACTATGGATTACTATTCAAAACCTCTGGGTTTATCTTGTGAATCATGTTTGCACATCTAACAGTGCTATCATGTTACAGCTCTCTGCTTGAGAATCACTGGGTTAGGCATATAGATTGCATGGAGTCAGTAAGCTATCAAGGGATAGGGTAATTCACATATTCATTTGTAATATACTAAAATAGACTGTGGAGGTTTCCCCCACACAACTGCATTATTATGAGGGTGAAATTAATCAAATACTGTTTATGCTGATATTAAATTCAAAAATCATTTCCACATTTCTCCTCAGCACTCATAAGACTATGAGCTCCTTGATTCCAAGGGAGGAAAAAGATAATTATTGCATGTTACGAGAGCTGGAAAATAACATTTTCATTAATCAGTACATCAAAAACCTGCTTGGGTTGTTATTCCTTTCCAAGAAACACAAAAAAAAGTTTGAAATGGCCAGTAAACATCAGGGAAACAAAAAAAGGAAGAGACAACAGAGCCAGCAAAACCAGAAGGAAGTTCAGAATAGATTGATGGTTTATGTTTAAAAATGCAAGGAATCAGAATTCAGCTTCTATCTATTCCATACATCATTCATTTCACAAACCCTACTGCCAGAGCAAAGTCTGAGCCAACCCTGCAGACTGCAAAGACAAGGAGTTGAAGAGTAATGCTTCAAAGAACGTGTGTTTCTTTAACCTGACTTTAGTGTTTCATTTTATCCAAAACATTCTGTCCAGAAAATCTTACACATCTTTTGTTAAAGCATGGTTCATTTAACTTATGTAGTTCTACACCTAAACTGCTTTTTTATTTCTGGTTATAATTGGCAAATCTAATGCTATTACACACTATGTTAAGTGAGAGGCTAGTACAGGGGTCAGCAACATTTTTGGGCAGAGTGCCAAAAACACCCACAACCTTGACTTGTAAGATGTTGGCAAGCTAGGCGTGGATGGCATAGGAGCTGCAAGGGGCCCAATCCTTGTTGTGGCAGTGCAGCCCTGGCCACTTCCTCACCATCTGCTCTGAGGCATGTGCCAAGCAAAATGCCTTCAGATGTCACACTCAGGCACGCATGCTGAGGGTTGTCAACGTCTGGGCTAGAAGGCAAGCAAATGAGTTTATAACATACTTCTTCCACATTGGTGCTGTTCTTTATGGAAAATTGTGTTTTGAAGAAAGTTGCAGTTCAACATTGTATTGTACAGGCTACTTTATAGAAATATACAAATGTGTATTTCAATCTTGTAAGGAGTGACTCAGAGGCCAAAAACAGTAAAATATGCCCAACAAGAAAAAAGCGCTGTGGTCCACAGATGGAGGTTATAAATAATAATCCATTGTATGCCCAGCAACATCTTCAACAATTAACGTCACGGCTCCATCTAAGAAGCAGAAGGTGAATCTGGTAGTCAGTTGTAATATAAAATCTATTTTGCACAGTTAGAGATAGGAAACTACTCCGAGTGATGCTACCTGAGAAGGAG